GGAGATAGGATAGAATGTGCAGGTAGATGGGTTTACCTTGGCAAGGAGTTAGGGTTATCCTATGAGACTAGAGTGAAGGAGGCAATAGTGACAGAAGGCATCTGAGTGATATAAGATGAGGAAAAGGGGAGAAGAGGGAGTTCTCAATGAATGTCCTCAATTTTTTTCAGTAAAATATGAGGCAAGTTTCTCAATTGAGAGGGTGGGGGAAGAGGAGCCATAGGAAGTTTGACGGATGAAAAGGTGTGGAAGAGCTGCTATGGTGAGTGGAAGAGTGAGTTGATAAGGAAGGTGTAGGAGTTCCTAGTTAGCAATGAGGACTCAGTTGTGGTTATGTAACATAAATTCATAGTGGACCCAGTCAGAACAGTTGCATGATTTTCTCCACCTTCATTCAGCAGCTTGTGTGTAGGAGCAAAGGCAAAGGATGTTGGGAGTTATTCAAGGCTAAGGCTCACCAGGGCTTAAGAGGTGATATGATAATAAGGAAAGAGAGTCAAAAGAAGAGAACAATGTAGAGCTGAACTGGTTCACCAAAAGGTCAAGATAGAAAAAGGAGGAGAGAGTGATTAGTACAGGGCTGATAGCCTGGCTATGCATTTTTTAAATGTCTATTTACATTTTTTCTATGCTATTTGATATTGATAATGAATTCCATCTTCATTAACAGTGGGTTTCTGGTCTTATGAATTTACGGGTTCAAGAAATCAGAGTCAAGGAGAGAATTTTTCACTTTTTGGTGATTTCCAAGTATGGTTCAGCATATGCCTGTCAGATTACCTTTGAATACTTTGAGAGTTAACAAAGAGATAAGCCAATAGAGATATATTTGAAAATATGCTCCAAATTGCTAATAGTAAGATAAATTAAAACAACTCTGAGGTTTTACTACACACCCTACAAATTGGCAGACAAAAAATGGGAACAGTCAATGTTGGAAGGATTGTAGAAAGACAAGTACACTAATATGTTTTTGGTGAAGCTATGAATTAGTCTAACCAATGGTGACAATATTGATTTCTCCAAATGGGAGAGGGAAATGAGGGCATCCAGAGGATACCCACTACATCTTTAACAGAAGTTATGATTAATTCTATCCAGGACAGTTCCTAAACGATGGCTCTTCCTGCCCAGTTTTACTGCTACCATTCAAGAAAATAAAAAGAAAAGGTCCCTCCAAACACTATACCCTTGGGTTCATAACTTTTCCTCTTACTTCTAAAGTACCACTCCCCCACAGTATCTTTTTTAGTATGTGTACAGTCAGATATCTTTAACATAAAAATTACTTTATTTCAATACAACTGCACACAAGTAAGAAATTTCAAGTATGGTCTCCTTATACACTTTAGCTTGTCACAGGTTAACACACAAAAAGCTGCTGTTGTCTTCACTATCTAGGAAGAAAGGAAACAAGCATTTATCAAGCACTTACTATGTGTTAGGTACTGTGGTAAGCATTTTACAAATATTACCTCATTTGATCCTCATAGCAACCCTAGGAGGTAGATGCCCAATTTACAATGGACAAAACTAAGGCAAATAAAGGTTAAGTGACTTGCCCAAAGTCACACAGCTATTGTCTAATTTGATTTGAACTCAGATCTTCCTGAAGCCAGGCCCAGAGTTCTATCCATCTGTTCCACTTAGCTGCCCCTAGGTCACACTTCTATTCCCAGTCTAATGCTAATTATTTTCCCCTGTTTCCTTGGTTACTAAGGAAGCAAAGCCTTCACTGTCTAGGTGGCAGAACCAGCCCACTGCTCTATGTTGAACATGTTTTCCTTTTAGTTACCCAAACTCTGACGCTTCAGTTTCCCTAGATTTTGTCCCAAAAACTCCGTTTTCAGAGTACACATGCTCCTGGTTGGCACTTAAAGCTGTTCCTGTTTTCAGCCTTTCCTAGTTATGTTTTAAGCCATTTATATTCTTCTGTGCTAAACTTTCTCCTATTTTCTGAACTCACTTCCTCTAAAGTAGCCTCTTTTTTCTTTACAGCTGTTTCTTTTTCCTAAATTGTTTCACCTTATTCCCTTGAATATTCCCTCCACACATAGATGTTTCAGCTTCCCAACTTGGGTCCTCACACTCCACTCAGGAAGTTACTACCACTTACACTTCAGTTACATTGTTTTTTCTTAATAGGAACTTTTGCATAAACATTAGCTACAACCCAGTTGAATTTTTATCGTTTTTATCAAATGATATAATATTTAATACACTTATATTGTGGGGAACTGAAGTTATACAGTAGGAATGAATCTAAAATATCTTGACATTTGAGATCCAGAGAGGAACAGATATAACTGTAGAATTAACTTTTAGAAAAAAAGATGTTTATAATTATAATTTTTAACATGGAAAAGGTTGTCATAATTCATTATAAATAATTGCCTCAAGTTTTATATATATCCATTATTACCAGTACATGCACAGTGTATTTCCATAGATTTTTCCATATTGCCTTTATGGTTGGATATGCACATGCTCTTGTGTTGATTATTTGGCAGCTGGCATGTTTCAAAGAAGTGACAGATAGAGCCTGATAACCATTTCTTTAGCCATACATGGAAGCTATTTCAGCCCTGACCTTTGTTCAGTCACCCTTAACTTCTTTATCAAGTCGAAAGAGCTAGATATTTCTCCTCCTTATTTCTGTTCATGTACAAGCAAACTATATTGACAAGTCAATTCTACTGTTCAGAACAAAAACAATTTCATAGTATTGTTACAAAAAAAAAAAGAAATGAGTTCTTTACACATCAAGGGGTCCTAATTCATTATTATAATAAAACAATTTTACTCTTTTAAGCTATTCTAAGGAATCAAACAATGTGCATTGAAGCATAATGATTTTTGTAAAAAGCCTGTTGTGAGCTGGTAAGACTGATTATGCCTGTTTAATTTCAGAAGTAGTTTTCAGCAAAAATTAATTTATTGCAATGAATATGAAAAATAATGAAATAAATATTTAACTGTTATTCCTTCTTAAAATATGCTTCCCATGAATTTAAATATAAATTAAGAGAAAAAATTTAATCCCTCAAAAGTGCCATTTTTAACAATAAACAATTTATCCCATTGTACAAAATTTAAAACTGCTGTTTTAAAGCCTATATCCTGGTAATATTATTAGACAAAACTTGTCTCTGGCAAATCTTTTGCAATACTGTTTCAAAGTCTGGTTTTACAATATCAGGGCTGATTTTTTAAAGGTATTGTCAATAACTCTACACTAGTTTCATATGTATTCAGTTTCAGCTGTGCCCAACTCTTTATGACATCTTTTGGAGTTTTATTGGCAAAGATAGTGTAGCGGTTTGTCATTTCCTTCTCTAGCTCATTTTACAGATGAGGAACTGAGGCAAACAGGGTTAAGTGACTTGCCCAAGGTCGCACAGCTACTATCTGAGGAATATTTGAATTCAAGCCTGGCACACTATCCACTGTGCCACCTAGGTGGCCCTCATGTATTCAGTTAGCGACAAATGTAGTAGATCTGACTCATTAAAGAATATAAGTTCTCTGCCCTCTGATTATTAATATAGTATTAAAATATATTTTAACATAGTAAATATAATATAGCTAAAATATTGTCAAATGGTATCATTAAAGGCATTGAATGGCAATTTTTTTTCAATTTTACATGATTTAAAGTCAGATATTAAATACATTAAAATATGCACAGAAAATTTCTGGTTGATAGAAGGTAAACTCTTTGATAGCAAGAACTGTTTTGGAGTTGTTTTGGTAGTATCTCCAGGACCTAAAAGATAGTCATAGCACATCGATAAATGCTTATTGATCAATTGAATTGAAAAACAAGCTAAAAGAAGCCCCTACTGAAGCACACAGTAGTTAAATATCTTGAATTTACTTCCACTATAAATACCTAATTTACATATAGCTAGAAGGGGAGTGACCTAAATGATCACAACCAACTTCTGCATTTGAGAGCACCATAGAACAGAGACCCTCTCTTAATAGCAGTGAATACCAAAGACTTTATAATAGAGAATTCACCAATGTTTCTGTTGATTAAATGAAATAGCTAGTATTTATATAGCACTTTAAGGTTTGCAAAAGCACTTTACATGTTATCTCATTTGATCTCCCCAACAACCCTATGAGGTCGGCTTTATTATAATCCTATTTCTCTCCATGAGAAAACCAAGGTTGAGTGAGGGTCACCCAGCTTGTGTCTGAGACAACCTTTGAACTCTGCTCTTCCTGATTTCAAATCCAACCCTCTATTCAATACAAAAGGTCTTATGAATCTTGAAGATAACGATTTATTCAAGCCCAATGCCTAGTAGAAAATCCTTTGTGGTACAACACTGACATACTTCCCGGGCCTAATTGCCCCTGCAGCCACTGAGTGTACTACTGCCCTTCTACGTTCGTTTATTCTGTTTCTTCCCTTTTTATTTGTTAAAAAAGTAGCTTCCACTTGAAAATGTTGACTAACTCAAGAATTCAATCTAAAATCTTTTCACATGCTTTCAAGTTGCTGTTCAAGGTCTGTCACCGCAGTCAGGAATTAGGTGAGCTGGCATTCCCATTCCCTCCTCTCCCCTTTTGCTGCCTCTGATTCCCTTGAGGTGCATGGGGGGGGGGAAGCCTCCCCTGGGCTACGCTGAGGTTTAATTCCCCTGAGGTGAATCGGGGCAGAGGGTGGAGACCTTTGGTCATGACTCTCTCCTCCCTCCCGCCCCCCATCTGCCCTGATTCCTTGGGGCTTCCTCCTCACAGAAATAAATGCTAAAGCTTCAGTGCTACCCAGCCCAACTTCCCAAAAAACTGGAGAAGAGAAATGAGGTGACTAAGACAGGTTCCCACTTAGCGGGTCGCAGACCACTCAGGGACCTCAACCGAGGCCCGTAGCGAGGCGCGCAAAGCGCCAACATACATGCGCACAGGCGCGCGGGTCGTGGGGGGTGGGGGAGGAAGAGGGCTCAAAGTCTCGCGAGGCTCAGGACGCGGGAAGTGGTACGCGGGGCGTATGCTGGTCGCGAGCCTCGGAGAAGGCGGGAAGAGGTTGCTGCTACTGCTGCCTTCGCCGCTGGCGTTTCTCCACACTAGCACCCCCTGCCCCATCTGCCCGGCCCGGAGCTGGAGGCCGAAACTGGCAGGGGTGGGTGCGACCTTACTTCGAAGGAGGCGAAGTTACAGGGGAGGGTACGAGCGAGGGCGGGGTTCTCAGCTCAGAGCCGCCCGCCCTCCTTAGAGAAGGCCTTTTTCAGTCACAAGGGGGAGAGGAGCAGGCCTTGGGCGGGTAGCCTCGTCTTTGCCCTCAGTGTCTCTACTGACAGACGATAACACGATGGGGTGTTTAAGAGCAGGACTCTATTCATTTAAGTTTATCAGTAAATATGACCCCAGGGCCAGCCCATGGACCCTGGAAATTTTATAGGAAGCTATGGGATTCTGTTCACCCATTCATTTGTTAAATGCCTACTGCGTGCAGTGAGCTGTGCTAGCTCTTAGCTCCTCCGTGAGGGACAAAGATAAATAAGATTTGGTCCCTGACCCTCAGTATTGAACGCAATACACTGACTGCAGCACTCTGAGTTTAAAGAGAAGAAAAGGAGGCACGTGCAGGAAGGGGTGGGGGAGGGGTAGCAGAGTTCTGGGGCCTCGTGGTGCGGAGAGAGCAGGGGTTTCCGAGTCTGGGGACCTGGGTTAGAAATCCTCTCCAGCAACTAATAGCCAGTGTGGGCTCAGAGGCCACTCCTCACTCGGGGTCTCAGGCCCTTTCTCAGTTAAATGACAAGATAGAGGAAGTCTCCAAGAAGTTTGAGACTACAGGCCTAAGTGTCCCCTACCTTTACCCTTCCCCAAGCTGTGAATAAGACTGCTGGTGAGGAGGGGTCCTAATAAAGGAGGACTACTAGTCTGGTCCCTGTTGACTAACATGCTGTAGTGAGAAGCATACAGGTCTGGGAGTAAGAGGACCTGGGTTCAAATAATTAGGGTTAGCTGTGTGGCTTTAGTCAAATCATTTAAACTTTCTGGCTGAGTTTCCTCATTTTGATTTATGATCCCTAGATTCTTCCATTCTCTCTTGGGGTCCAGATTTCAGGAGATCCTTGATCTTTAATAGCAATATTTTTTTTTAATATGATTAGTTTTCTTTGTAAGACTCTGGGATGAGGTTTGGGCTCAGGGCTTTTTACTCCAGAACAGGTAATCTTTCCATTGTCACACACTACTTCCTAAAAAGATGAAACTTAATAGAATAAGCATAAATCTTACATCTTACAAAATTCAACTTTACAACTACAAGATAGGGAAGCTATGACTAGATTACAGTTCCTCTGAAAAAAATCTAGGGTTTTTGTTGGGTTTTTTCATGGATTGTAAATTCAATATGAGTCAGTAGTGTGGTATGGCAGCTTAAAAAAAAAAAGCTAATATGATTTTAGGCTGCATTTTAAAAGATGTCCAAGACTAGGGAGGTGATAGTACTCTACCCTGATGAAACCAAATCTGGAGTAATTAGTTGTGGGAGTCACATTTTAGAAAGTATGTTGATAAACTGAAGGACAACTAGAAAAAAGGTTCTTAACCTAGGGATGATAAACTTTTCTTGAAAAGGGGTATTTTGATAATTGTCAATATAATTGGCTTCCTTTGTAATCTCGTGTATTTTATTTTATGCTTTCAAAAACATTCTAAGATATTCTTAGACTTCACCAGATGTTTGACACAAACGGCTAAGAACCTCTGATCCAGAGAAAGGAAGCCAGCATGGTGAAGTGCCTCTCATGTAAAAAGATGATTGGCTGAAAGAAGTCAGGATGTTTATCCTGGAGAAGAAACTATTTGGGGAAAATGATAGCTGTCTTCAAGTTTTTAAAGGGCTATTTTGTAGAAGAGGGATTACACTTTTTCTGCTTGCCCCAGAAGGCAGAACCAGAAGTAATGGGTGGGAGGTGCAAAGAGGCAAATTTAGAATTGCAATCAGGAAAAACATCCTAACTATTAGAGCTATCCAACTTAGCTCTTCCCAGTAATGCAAGGATCTAAGACAACTCCGAAAGACTCACAATGGAAAATTATATCCATATCCAGAGAAAGAACTATTGAATCTGAATGCAGATGGAAGCATACTACTTGCTCTCCTTTTCTTTTGTTGTTTTGTTTTGTTTCTTCTTTCTTTTGGTTTCTCCCATTAGTTCTAATTCTTTTTTACATCATGACTAATGTGAAAATATGCTTAATATGAATGTATAAGTAGAGCATATATCAGATTACATGTCATCTTGTAGAATGGGGAGGAGAGGGAAGGGAAGAAAATTTAAAACTCAAAATCTTATGGAAATGAATGTTGAAAACTAAAAATAAATTAATTAAGAAAAAAAAAGCAAGCAGAGCTATCCAAAAGTAGTAGGGGCAATTTCAAGAGGTAGTGGTCTCCCCCCCAATTTAAACAAAAGCTAGATGACCAGTTATTGGTTGTTGTAGAGGGAATTCTTGTTCAGTTACCGGTTGGACCAAATAGTCTCCGAGGTTCTTTCCAATTCTAAGATGCTGTGATTTTATGAGAAAAGCACCAAAGGTAAATTTTACAAAGACATATTTGAACATGAATCTTAGAAATTTCTGATTGCTTTACAAACTAAGTGACAGAGCTGGGATTTGTACTAAGGGCCTCTGGCTTCAAACTCAACACTCCTTTCTTCTCTATCATACTGCTTTCCTTCAGTTATGGAGAATCCTGCGAAAGGGAGGTCCTCCACAGGATTTTGGCCTGGTGCTTCATTGAAAAATGAAGGGGAAAAGACTAACTAGTATGTCCGTTGAGTTCTTTGGGAACCATCCATACTAAGAGACAGGAGATGCAAATTGTTCAAATAATAAAAACACAAAAGTGAAATTAGTTGTCTGCTTAAATATTATTTAGTTAAGTAGTTGATGCCATCAATCTTATGTTAATCTCAAATTGTAAATAAAATTTACTTTAAAAACATTTCAAATATTTCATAGTTATTACACTATAGCATAGAACTGAGTCAGTATTCTTTGATTAACCTTTTTCTCTATTTCTAGAATGTCTACAAGTTACAAACCATTATGTATTTTTTGTGGCTATCATATTATACACTTGAACATATAAGTATATGTTTTAGGTTCACTAAATCATAAAATCATAAACCTGGAAGGGACTTTGTGAGTTCTAACCCCCACCTTCAAGAAAGTGAATTAATGAGGCAGCTAGGTGGTGCAGTGTTTAGAGCTCCAGCCTTGAAGTCAGGAGGACCTGAGTTCAAATCCAGCTTTAGACACTTGAAGCTTACTAGCTACTGACCTTAGGCAAGTCACTTAACCCCAACTGCCTCCTTTCCCCCTGCCTCCCCCCCAAAAAGGTAAGCTACTAAGCCCCAGAAGGTCAGTGGCAGATTTTTTTAAAAAATGAATATAGAATATGCATCTAATGTTTCCACTCCAGAAAATCCAGCAACAGATTCACAAATCTACTTTCAGTTCTATGACCTTATAAAATGATAGGTTTGGAAGGTGCTAGGGATTTCAGAGTGAAAATGGACAATGCAGTCATTATCAGACCAATCTGACCTTCCTCCCAGAAAGATTTCACACAGGGCAAGAAACTTAGAAATACTTACTACCTAGTCATTTTTCTCTAGCATCAAAAAGCCTATGCTGAAGACTGTGACACCATTTAAATGGTACTCATGCCATAGGGAATTCTCTGGTAAAGAAGCCTACAATGATAATGTTCTCAGAGGGCTTATTCATATAGACTTGACAATAAATAAATGGTCCTCCCTGAAAAATCTGTGGTTTAGAAAGTGAAAAAGTAACCACACATGTTAGTTTGGTAAAGCTAATATTTTCACTACAGTTGAACCACAGTAAAATGAGTGTATAAAATATAATGAGTATAAAGGGTAACCAAAAGCACCCTTTATTTTATTCTTCTCACAAAATATATATTGAATACGTAGTATTGCAAGGTACCATATGGATGATACAAAGATGGATAAGACATAATTATTATTTTAATGGAGCTTACAATCTAGATATATAAATTCTTTTTAAATGTCCACATATTAGTGTACTATCCATCTCTATGTATATCCAGGGTATAATTTGGCCTTTGGTGTCACTGAATGCAAAGAATGAAGGTCCTATAAATGTGGTTTTGTTGTATTTTTTAAAAAGATTTTATATTATTTAAATTATAATATCTTTATATTGCTTTAAGTTTCATGAAACATTTTTTCTTAACAAATGGCCCACTGAATTGTCCCTTATCTGAAACTAAATTTTCATGATACTCCCAAATTGCTAAATTATTGTTTTTGGATAGTAAGAGATCAATTTTAGTATGTAATTATGCTATATAAAAATACAAAGGCATCTCTTCATTGTTTTCTTCTTGATTATATTTGTGGTTGAATGAACATTTTCCAGAGAATGGGTTACATAATTAATAATATAAATAACATTATTAATATTAAAGAATTTTCCTAAAGAAAATACTTTTTAAACATATATTTTCTTGATGTATTTAGGTTATATAATTTACATATCCAAATGATGCTTTCTAAAATTATAGATAAAAGAATGGCGAACTCCTTTTCAGCACAGAACTTTGTTGCACTTCCAGATCTGCGTCCAAATCTGGCTCATCCTGTAAGTTTCATTGACATACTCCTTTTGTTGTTTGCTAATGAAGTTTTATATGATGAAATTATGTTACTTCAAAATTATGTAATTGACATGTATATAGATACCCATTGCATTAGTATAATTGTTGGATATAAAAGTACCCCTGTTTCTTTGTATATATTTTAGGAAAATGAAAACTAATGCTTCTGTTGTCTACAGGGGAGGCAATGTGACCAATATGACTGGTAATTCATTATCTGAAATTATTAGAAACTTCTTCATATCGTATTACTTGAATGCTGAATTGAGATTTAGTCAAACTCAGCATTATGAAGCCACAAGGTTTTTTGTACAGTATATTCTCCAGGTGACTGCAATTATAGGCTTAGATTATGTTATTATGATGGATTTAAGGAAAAATCTCAAGTATTCTGTCACCAGAAGCATGTTGAATTGAATTGTTGGATTGAAACATAAATTAATTTCACACTACAGGAATTCTCAATTTGCACTGAGGATATAAATGGTAGAAGAGAAAGAAGGGGGTGAGAGAAGAAAGCTGTCTAGCTTGTTAGGCTGAGCTCACAGCATGTCTACATTGTGATTCCAGGGTCTGGTCCTTAGCTTTGCAAGGTCTGAATCTTGATTTTATTAGTTCACCCAGTGGTGACAAAGCTCTGAGAAATCAATTCATGCTGACTAAACTCACTAGAGAAGGATTTATAAACCAGAATGCCAGTTTATTAATTTATAATGGATGATATATCAGGCAGGATTACTGGTACTGGTCATTTGCACAGGGCATTGCCTTCTAGTGGGTAGATCCACTCAGGAGACTAAAGTTATAGATCTGAAGGCTAATTGGTGACAATAGAATTAGAGCAAAGGCAGTTATTCTTAAATGATATTTCTGTCAAGCCTGATGAATTACCTTTCTCTACTCTAGGGATATTTTTGTCTAGATAATTGTTAGTAGTGGTCATTACCATCAGATCACCTTCTCTCCTGGACAGTGCTCAAGAAATATAGAAATCTAGCCCTTTGGTTCTTTTTTTTTTTCTAGACTCCATGCAAATCTCTACCCTTCTGTTGTGATGACATTAACTCAAATATTTTACAATTAATTAAATCACAACTTTTCTTCCATTAAATACAATTTCATCTACTTTATGAGATTAAAGAGGCATCCTAGTAACTTGCTAGGACTTGGAAATTCCCATAGTCTTTTCAGTAACATATTTACAATAATTTCTTGGAGTCACTTTCTTCACATAGCTAATCTCATTGATTTAATTTTGATTTGTATTAGTGTTAATTTTTTATCCTCCTCCCAGATTCTTGAGATGTATTTAATTTAGAACTTGTGCTGACATGTACATGTGTTTATACACACACACAAACACACACACTCACACATACACACCAATAGATGAATTAGATGGATTCATGGTTTTCTGAAATGGTGTATGGCAATTAAATGTGTGTGTGTGTGTGTGTGTGTGTGTGTGTGTAAATTGAAAAATCTTAAATGTACAAAGGAAGCTAACTAAAAATTTGGAATGAATACATTTGTAAAATGAAGAATCTCTTTATAAAACAAATAAAGACACATACACTTCTATTTGCCTGTGTTCTAACTTTGGTTGTCAAGTTTTCTTACTGGAAGGGGTGCCTATAAAAAACTTCCATTGTTTGCATTTCAAAGTTTAATCTTGAGGATATAAATTGATTCCTAATCTCCTGATTCAGAAGTCAGATTTTTTTCCAGTATTTCAGCAAGTTGAGTTTCCCCAGTAAAGTTCAGAGGGGTTCCCTGCATTCATATAGAGTTAAAGAAATAGTATAACATTTGTCATAAATGCAAAGGGGTAGCCAGCAGTTCGGTTAGGATGTGGAATTCTTTAAAGTTTGAGTGCAACAAATTATTGCCACATGAACAACAGCTGCTAGAACTATTAATATAAGCACGGGTTTATCCTTTGTAAGAAAAAGCTAGTAATCTTGGCTTTTTAAAAGTGTTTTAATTTTTTATTCTTTTTGGTAGACACTAAAGTAAACAATAAAGTTTTAAAGAAGATATTTAATGACCTACCTAGATTTTAAGAACTAGAGCTTATAACTTTGATTTATCAGCTGCAATATATAGGTTTTGTTACAATCTAATTTATGTTACTGTCCAGCACGTTTGGATTAAGGAATGAAGCAATTTTATGTGAATTGTCAAAAAAAAAATCCCATATAAAAGAAAGCTTTGAAGGCCTTAGGAAATTAAATTGCATTATACATGTGCTTTGAATGAATTCAGTTAAGTATCTAAAGCATAGAACAGTTACTGTGCTCCACCTAGTGATTAAAAATAAAGTAGAAACATGGTTAGTGCTATAATATATTTGTAAGGCAGTTAGCTATCCAACTACTTTGTATTAGTCCTTGTGCTGTTTAATGTTTATATTGTTCATTTACATGCCACCCTAGAATAAATGCTTTTAAATGATTACTGGTCAAAAATATGTTTGTTATAACCAGTAAAATATAACAAGTCCATGAAATCAAATTTACCATGTACATCTGTGTTTAATATTGGTTCTATAACCTTTTTGTTTTTCAGAGTATAATCGGTATGGTTATTGGGAAAACAGATGTCAAAGGCTTTCCAGACAGAAAAAGTTGAGTTATATTTAACTCTTTACTTTATTTTTCATAAGCTGTAACTTAAGTTTGTATGATTACAGCCAAGCATATTTAAATGATTGAATTTGTCATGCATTTTAAACTCCTAAAGGGCAAGAACCATGTTTCTTTGTTTGATAAAGTGCCTAATTAAGAGTCATATGTGTGAAAATACTCAAGAAATGTTATTTGATGATAAAAATTATTTGATGTTTCTGGAGAATAATTATTCAAGCTATGTCTATAATATAATACCAAAACAACTAGCTGACTTGGTCAATTCAATCAATGAACTCCTTAATTAAGTAAAAAAAGGAGGAAAATTATTATTTAGGGTGGGGTAAGGAAAAAATTCATTTGACTACATTTTCCCCCTTTTAACTATTTCTACCATAACCTGTATCTCCTAATTATTATTTTTAACTTTAATAGTTATTCTCAGGATATGCATGAATACGTAATAACTTCTAAATATATTATACAAATTTCAAGTACTTCAGTCTATTTTCTTATGTACCTTGCAACCTTAGTGATCTATACCATATTCTCTCTTAGTGATGTACATTCTATCTATGTCCATATGATTTCAAATAACTACTTTAAATGGAGTTGTCAGATAGTCATTTGTTTTGTTTTTGCATACTAAATCAGACCTCCAAATTCCACTAAAAACAATGTTTTGTTTTATATTATGCTTTGTTTTGACTTTTTTCATCATTCTGCCTAAACTAAATTAATGTCTTGCTTTCATATAGACATTCTTTAACTGGAATTGGACTTTTAAATAAATGTATTGTCAAATTTTTATGGATAACAGAAAAAATGGCATGTACAAAATGCAAATTTTTAAGTGTAAATTTCAGCTTTTTCTACAATTTTTATTTAAATTCTGCAGTGTAGGAAGGAATAAGTAGAGCTAAAGACTGTTAAATTCACAAAGAATTTTGGCAGAAAAGGCTCCACTTTTATTTTAATCATTTGGGTAACTGAATTGTATTAATCTAATTTATATAATCTATGCTAGTATTAATGAACACCTTAATTTTGATTTTCAGTTTTTTTCTCCCATTCATTTTAAAAGATCTGTAATGAAGAATTTTTTTAAAAAAACAACACTAATACATCTACAGTCAAAAATGTGCATTCTTTGTGTTGTAAATCAGACTCCCAAATTTCACTAATAAGGATAAAGACAAAAGAATTGTTAGAACAGCATAAGGAACCCAGACTGATTCCTAAGTGCTTCAAGGCACTCCTACTACTACAGGAACCAGAAGTCATTAAAATATTTACTGACCCCTTGTGGTATTCATCAGGCTATCATTCAGAAGCACAAACCTTTTGTTCTAATTCAATACTTTAGAATTATGACTACACAAAGTGAAAGAGAAAATTGAAGTAGCTCTCTGAATCATTCAAGTTAAAAAAAAAAAAGACAACCACCCACCCCCCAACCTAATGGACAGAAAATTGAGGAAAAGGGGGAAGAGAGGGATGTTTGCCACGAATTCAGAGTTGGCTCGACTTTGCTTTACAAGTCAATAAATTGCAACATATAATTTCACAGGATGAGAACTTATGTATAGATTGGGATCTGCACCAGTGGAGGGAACTCACACAAAATGAAATCCATCAGAGTATAAGGAATTTGTAATTGGTATACATTAATTGGGTACTCTGTGCTTGGTGTCTGAATTAATTCACATAATAATAAGAATTAATGAAACCAAGCTTTTACATTTGAAAACTAAAAGCCCTATCTTCTTTTCCTTTAGATATAGGGTCTGAAAGATACACTTTCAACTTCACCATTCGAGATTCACCAACTTATTTTATAAATGTAACATCCTGGGGAAAGGAAGATTATATTAAATCACTTTCCAAAAGCTTTAGAGTTGGTGAGTGTGGTAAGTTATTTATTTTTCATCTATTGCTATTATAATTCTTTCCCATGACATTAATATTTGTGGTTTAAGTAAACCAGCTTTTCTTCTAAAGACATAAATTGAACTAGTTTGATTGGAAACAAATGATCCAGGTTTATTACATATCAAGGGAGTATAAGTCAAATAATTAACCTAAAACATGTAAACTGAGAATTAGGGTGTCCTTATCATAGGACCTTAGAGTTGTAAAGGATTTCAGAAATTATCCAAGTTTGACCCTTACCTGCTCTACCACATCCCCAACTGCCTGGCAGGTGGTCATTTGCCTCTGGGTAAACAACTTCCAGGACAGGAAGTTCACGAACTCTAAAAGATAGACCATTGTACTTTAAAGTGACTCTAAATTTAAAAAAAAAAACAAACTTCTCAACCTCAGTTTCCTCCTCTGCAAAATGGGAATAATAATACCTACCTCTCCATTGTTTCAAGGATAAAATGAGATAAGACGAGCACTACATAAATGTTATCTATTATTATTATGAGGAAGTTTTCCCCTATATTGAGGCAAAATCTGCCTCCTTGTAGTTTCCATCCATTGGTATTGCCCTCTCTGGACATGCAGAACAATTCTAACCCCACTTCCACACAATTCTTCCCTTCTCAACTATTCCTTCCTTAGCCCTGCCCTAATCTTTTTCACTGAACCTTATGTGGCGTCAGGTTTGCTATCAAAATAATTAATTATAGTATCACTTTTTTTTTTGGTGCATTTCGCATTTAAGTATCATGTTTATTGAAACCTCTATCATGGCCATGTTGATTCTTCAATGCTAACGAACTCATGCTGGAATACAAGAAGTCTTTTTCTTTCTTTCTTTCTTTCTTTTTTTTTTTTTGCTCAAAAAAGAATACTATGGATAGTCACGAAGGCTTCCCCCTCCAGCCACAACTACCCCCTCTTAAATAGCTTTACACATGGCAAGAAAGCTTTTAACATTTATCTTCCTTTGTGACGTGATTTGCTTTGGGCCAATGGAATACAAGTTTTCTGGATGGATTGGCAGATTAGGATGTTTTTTAAGGTAGAGCTAGGGAAATGTAAAGTAGAGCTGTAGGAAAACAACCACCAATCTCTAGACCATAACAGAAAGGAAATTTGAAAGGCTAGGAAACAGAACTTAGGGAAAACTAGAATTCTTAGATCCTCCTGGAAATGGAAAACAGCCTGCAGGATTCTGGGAATTGTAGTTTGGTATCTCCAGCTGTGGCGGTGTAGTGTGTGGCGTTAAGGATGTGAATGCTTTTAGCCCCTCAGGTGCCATTGGGAAATAGCTATTTTTTTCCCTGGTTCTTTGCACTTATCATTCATCTGATCTAGAGAAATCATGTCCAGGATTCCTTGCTGGAACTGTAGCCTGAGCCTGAAAACGGCTGGAACTGGCCCCCTAGTGAATATACAGGTAACAAGAGTGAGTCCCACATGTGTAGTGAGAGCCACTTGTGGTAAGGGCTTGTCGTTGTGTGTTTGGAAGGGAGACAGTACAGATATTTCTAACCTCTTCTCCCCCCACTCTTCTCCAAAGGAGAAATTCATCTCTGCCAGGAGGGGAAGCAGGAGGTTGAGGCCAAAGAATGCTCTGCTCTCCTCAGGAGAGAGTAGGGGTGGGAGAGAGGCTAAAATTATATCTGTCTGCTCCCTGAAATATTGTTCATCTAGGGTGTATGATCGAATTTCATCTAACTTCTGATCACTTTGACATTATTGTTATTGGAGGAAGGGAGACCCCCAAACTCTATATGCAAGGTTTGACCCATTTTCCACTAAATACCAGTTCTACAATTTAGACACGTAGCAAATAGCAAAGAAATCTATTCATCCAAATCTTAGTAAAACAGAAATCAGAGAAGATACACATGGGAGAATATATACCAGAAAATATAGAATGAAAGAGTACTCCCATTGGGAGCAAGATAAGTCAGCTCAACCATTAGAGATTGCCCTTGATCTCTCTCAAAGGGAAATTCCCCAAAGTCTCTAGAGCAGCAAGTTGCATAGGGACACGATGGAGAATTCTAGCTCCTCGTACGTCTTTTTCCTTCAGCAGCCTGAAGTAGGGTTAGCCACTTCCATCTTCTTTCTCAAAGCTGGAAGCCAGAAGAGCCTGGAGCAACTGAAGAGTCCTGAAGTTTGAAGAGTTTTAAAAAGTCCTGACCTTCAGAGAGTACCAAGGGGTACTGGTGAAGGCTGAACTGTCTTGTTTATCACCAACTCTACCCAGCCTCTCACCCTAGCACCAGCAGAGTATTCATCTCCGTCAATAAGGAGAGTTCCATACCAATGGGCTTTGGGATAAAGGTTACATTTCAATTTTAACTCTGGGATAAGATCCCCATCTAGAGATAGAGGAAATGCCAATGGATCCAAGAAAGAGAAGCCCCAGGAAGCACAAGTTCAGATTGGAAAATTGTACCTGAAACCAAGGTTTCAGCTCCACAGTTGAGCATTTCTATGGAGAAATCATTCCTAGGAAGATTTATTTGATTTTGGCCCCAGGACTCCAAATTGAGAGAAACCTAGGAATATAATATCAGGTCAAAAACACAGCAAGGCAACCAGGAGAGATATTTTAGGCAAATAAAAATTGCTAAAAACAAACAAAAAACACCTCCTAATAAAAAGAAAGGTCGTGTACTTAATATTTATAACAAACTTTAGTCCAGAAGAATTCCTTATGTACACAAAATAGAGTTCGTAGAAGAAATTGTCTGCATAATTGTGATATACTTGAAAAGTGTCACATAATATTTAGATATAATTAAGCATAATAAAATCTCAGGGAAATCCTTTAAGTACAATGAATCTGAAAAGTTTAGTTACCATTCAGATTTCATTCATTATCAGAGACACGTTGGAGAAAAACCTCTATACATGAAGTGAATATTGGAAAACCTTCAATGACAACACACTTCTCACTCTTCATTAAAGAATTCATATAGGAGAGAATCCTTATGAGTGCGATGAATATGAGAAGGCTTTCAGGAGGGGCGCAACTTAACAGCATCAAAGAATTCATACTATAGAGAAGCCACATAAATGTAATAAATGTAGGAAAACTTTTAATAATTAGCTAATCCCTTGTGCAACATCAAAGAATTCATCCTGAGGAGAAACCTCATAAATATAATGAATGTGGGAAAGTTTTCAGACAAGATGGACTCTATTCCCAGCATCAGATAATTCATACTGCAGGGAAACTCTGTAAATGTAGTGAATATAAAATAAACAAACAAGCAAAAAATGTTCAACACCAATTCTTCCCTTACTACGCATCACAAGATCCATACTGGAGAGAAACTATGAGTGTGATGAATCTGGGAGAGTTTCCTGTGATAGTTCATTACTTACCAGCAGAAATTTTAAACTATGAACCCTATATACATATTGAATGTGGAAGAATCTCCAGAAGGAATGTGTATTTTATTGAATATCTACAAATTCGTACTGGAGAAAAAACCCATGATACAATGAATGTGGGAAAGCATTCAACCAGAGCTCATCCTTTAGTAATCATAGATGAATTCTTATAGAGACAAGACACTATAAATGTAATGAATGTGAGAAAGTCTTTGGATGTAGCCCTCATCAGACATCAAATACTTTATGTTGGAAAGTAACTGGAGAATATCAGGAAAGCTCTGCCTTATTCTTAACTGTTAGAGAATCAAGTTTAACATGGGTTACAAGGATAAAGGCATCCTTTCTCTCTTGTCACTTCTTTAATGTTTCATCCCTAGTCCTATCACTATCCCTCACAATAATCTATTAAATAACCACTTACCACTAAAGCTCAAATTAATAAATATATATGTAAGTATACGTATATGTATATATATGTATGGGCAGTTAGGTGGTGCAGTGGATAGAGTGCCAGGCATGGAATCAGGAAGACCTGAGTTCAAATCTGGACTCAGACACTGACTACCTGTGTGACTCTGGGCAAGTCACTTCACTGCTGTCTGCCTCAGTTTCCCCATCTGTAAAGGTGGTTAGAGTATACTCCCAGGGGCTGGGGAAAACCTTTGTTACTTTTGTTCTTCCTATAACTTCTCAGTTAATATCCCTTTATAAAAGCTAAAAGGGGGCAGCTAAGTGGTAGAGTGGATAGAGTGCTGGGTCTAGAGTCAGCAAGACTCATCTTCCTGAGTTCAAATCTGGCCTCAGACACTTACTAGCTGTGTGACCCTGGGCAAGTCACTTAACCCTGTTTGACTCAGTTTCCTTATCTGTAAAATGAACTGGGAAAAAAATGAGCTGGAGAAGGAAATGGCAAAGCACTCCACTGTCTTTGCCAAGAAAACCCCAAATGAGGTCACAAAGAGTCAGACATGACCAAAACAACTGAACAACAATAACAAATATATATATATATATATATATACATACTAATAATACACAAAAATAAGGAGTGGGAAATGGGGTAAATTTACAAGAATGGTAGTTTTCTTGTGGAGAAGAGGAAAGAAATTGAAGGAATGAGAGGTAATTTTGTAGCACTTTGGGAAAAGGCAGAGTTTGGTGGGATAATACAGAAGGAAAGCTTTGGATTATCCTTAGCCACTCCCTCTTTTGGAAGGAGGAGTAGTCACCAAGCTCCTTCTCCTCCATTAGGTTACTGCCTTCTCTTGGCTCTCAAAAATCCAGTAGAAGTATGTACATACATCTGTTACCTGGGAGCTCTTGGTTCCAAAGAAAAGCATAAGATCATAGATTTAGAGCTAGAAGTAACTTTAGAGGTCAAGTCCAATCTCTTTATTTTATTGATGTAGGTCCAGAGTTTAAATGATTTGCTTTGGTCACATAGATAAGAAGCATCTGAGGAAGGTTTTCCTGACTCTTAAGTCTAGCACTCTATCTACTGTACCACCTAACCACTCCAGAATTGTTCTTACTATTTCTTGCTGTTCTATTTTTTGCCCAAGGCCATGCCTTAATGATGGTTATTGGGTTGTGACTAATTTAAGTAGTCTTGACCCTAGTGCCCATAGGCTCATGGATTTAGTACAACTTCTTCATTTAATAGATGAGGTTAAATGATTTTGTCCAAAGGGACATAAGTCTATTTCCTCCAGTCTACTAACTAAAGTGAAAACCAAATGGCAAAACTGACTAGTTCCAGACAGAAGCCCATCTCTACTCTAGCCCAACCTTAAATGGGTCCTACTGGAACCCCATGTAATTTGACCCTAAATAACTAGGGCAAGATCAACGGAGCTGCATTATCAAGAGTACCAGGTAGCCCCATGGGCCTAGAAGGCACTGTGTGCCTCTTAATGATTAAATGAGGAACTCAAGGGAGATAACTGCTCAAGACCATTATTGCTACTCTTGGATACTATCTTTGTGTTCTTAGAGGGCTATTTTCTCTTCTAGTCAGTAAACTACATGAACACAGGTACTGTGTCTTATCTAAATTTTGTACTTCATCTAGCACTTAGCACAATTTCCCACATGTAATAAGTATTTAATAAATTCTTGTTGCATGAATGTTTGTTGAATATAGAACTCAGTTTAGGCTCAGTTCAGCTTTCCTGATTCTCTCCTTAGTTATACTATAAAGAAAATATAGTTGTTATGGATGACTGTTAATTGAATAAGAACCAAAGAAAGTATTTAAAGTCATACAGGATTGTTGTAGGGGATTTAATGTTCAATTCTTGAAGTAATATTTCTGTTGGTCCTCACTTTGGGTGTGAACATAAAAAAATGCTACATGGGTGAAATCATTGATCCCAACAGTTTATGCTCTGTCTCTGACAGTGACAAGACAACATAGCAGTTGTAATCCATTATGTTATCTTCAGAAGGTTTGAAATAATTTTAACATAGTCCCATTTCCAGTTCCACTTCCAATCATGTGGCTTTAATTTTTGTTAGCCTCAGTGTCCTGATCTGTGAAATAAGAATAGTAATTTCTACCCTGCCAACAATAACAATGATAGTATCTTATGGTTTATGAAGTCCTTTACATGTTGTATTATTTAATCTTTACAACAGCCCCATGAGCTAGATAGTGCAGGTGTTACCTCTACTTTATTGATGGGGAAACTGAAGTTGAATATTAAGTAACTAGTTGACGGCTAGAACCAGAACATAGGTTTTCCCTCACAAAGTTGTTATAATGATCAGATAAGTTAATATATGTGTAACTACTCCTAAATAGTAAAGCACTATGAACATATAAAGTACTTTTTTTTTGTTGGTCCTCTTCTTTATCTGTGATTTAATGAGTATGGGAAACTCCTGTGCAAACTCCTTCTGCCAATGCAGGTCATCAGCTGTCTAAGGCACCGAGAAGTTGTGACTGGCCCCTGGTTATACAACTAATATGTATCAGAGGTCAGGGCTTGAACCCAAGTCTTCCTGACTCCAAGGCCAGCCCTTCATTCACTATAGTACACTGCCTCTCAGAGTATTAGTTTTGTTATTATCATAAAGACCCCCAAACTTTTTAATGATATTTGCTATAAGATTATATCTGTGCTATAAATTTTGACTGCATAATAATGTAAAACAATTGTGTAAAAAAACAACAATCCTCATGATGTACTTAATTACAATAATTTTAAGTATAAAGGTACATGTTTGTGCAATTTGGGGAAAATAGTGTTTCAAACTCGTTATGCTATAGGTATCCATTCTTTATCATTATAAACCACTTCTTATTGTTTCTGACTTTTACTTTGTTAGGATTATTATCATTTTGAAATTATATCATATTTTCTCTCTGTTTTAGTGATAATTGACAATCCATTAGTGCAGACAAAGGAAATAGAAAAAGAAGAAAAATTCAATCCTACAACTCCAAGGTAAATTCATGACAAAGAACTACAACCTTTTTGGTACAATTAGTGTGACTAATATTGTCTAAGTATCAAATTAAACTGCCATAAAGTGGCATACTTCATTTTGAAAACTATAAGATTAATCCTACAACATATAACTTCTTATTGTTTTCAAGTATGCAATGATTGGTATTGCATTATGAAGATAAAATGTAGCATTTATCCTCAGAGAGATTATTCTGATTCTTAGCTTTTCATATTTTGGTAATGACAGTAATATGCAGGAAAAATAAGTCTTAAAAATTCTTCTCCTCAAAGCTTTCTTGTGAAGTTCAGTTCTCCTTTATCTTTTTTTGAGAAGTTAATATTAAGGAAGGATTTTTTTTCTTTTTCTTTTTTTTTGTGAGGCAATCAGGGTTTAAGTAACTTGCCCAGGGACACACAGCTAGTAAGTGTTAAGTGTCTGAAGCCAGATTTGAACTCAGGTAACTTCTGACTCCCAAGGCCAGAGCTCTATCCACTGCACCATCTAGCTGCCCCTTAAGGAAGGATTTTGAAGAAAGAAGGGAACAATATTGTTTCAAGAGTAGTAGGTTGCAATAATCCAATTGCAAGGGCTGGCACATGGATCCCATTAATGCTGCCAACCATTGCGCTTTAGTTAGGATGGTAGTATTGAAACATTTTGTCTTTAAATTATTTAGACCTCAAAAAGGATAGATACTAAATGTCCTGTTTTACAATCTCAAATATTTACCTTTATTCATTATTTCCCTTTATAAATATTGCCTTTATATTATCAACTCAAAATCAAATACACATTTTTTAAGCACCTATTGTGTGCAGAGCACTTTGCCAGGCACTAAGATAGGGGGTAGGGAGGGACAAAGTTTAGTTATGATATGGTTTTTGCCTTTAGGGAACTTATTATAGTACAGTATAGAATAAGATACCACTATAGGTAACTAGGGGCAGCTAGGAGGTACAGTGTGTACCTAGAATCAGCAAGACATCTTTGTGAGTTCAGATCTGGCCTCAGACACTTACTAGCTGTGTGACCCTGGTCAAATCACTTAACCCTGTTTGCCTCAGTTTTCTCATCTGTAATATGAGCTGGAGAAGGAAATGGCAAACCATTCTAATATCTTTGCCAAAAAAACCCCAAATGGGGTCACAAACAGTCTGACACAACTAAACAATAACAACAACACAGGTAACTATATTGCACAATATTACAGGACCAGTATCTTAGATAGTTAACAAAAGCATGAGGTCCAAAAGGTCTGAATTGTCAAAGTATCCTCCTAAAGCACATGTCACACACACCCTTTCCCCTTACTAATAAATTCCAGTGCTCTTTATCATCTCCAGTATCAAATATAAGATGCTGTTTGGCATTCAAATCTTTTCATAACCTATTGCCCCTCCCATCCCTCTCACCTTTCTAGTCTTTACCTACATCAACCCAGGTACTCTGAAATCCAGTGACACTTCCTCCTCGTTGCTCTTCAAAGAAGACATTCTGTCTCCTATCTTTTGGAATTTTCCCTGGCTGTCTCCCATCCCTGGAATGTTCTCCCTCCTCATCTCTACCTCGTAGCTTTCTGGGCTTCCTTCAAGTCCCAACTAAGATCCCACTTTCTACTGGAAGCCTTTCCTAATTCCTAAGTCTAGTACCTTCCCTCTGTTTATTTCTTATGTATCCTATATTTGGCTTTTTTTATACATAGTTGTCTGCATGTTGTCTTCCCCAATAGCCTGTGAGCTCCTGGAGGACAGGCGTTATCTTTTGCCTTTCTTTGTATTTCCAGCACTTAGTACAGTGCCTGACCCACAATAGATGATTACTAAAGATTGACTGACTGGAAGAATGTTGCAATCAGCAAGAGGTATTGGTGGGTGGCAGAATAGTATAGTGGAAAGAGCACGGGCTCTGAAGTCAAAGGATATGAATTTGAGTTCTGGCTCTTCTATTTATTACCTGTATAACTGGTAAATTCAAGGTCACTTAACCTCTCTCTCTGGGTCCCAGTTTCTTCATATGTAAATTAAGGACATTGTACTAGATTATTTTTAAGGTCTCTTTCAGTTCTAATTCCTATGGTCCTGTCTTGCTAGGGAAGGCTTCTTGGAGAAGGTGACACTTGGATTGTGTTTTAAAGGATGAGTAGGAGATGTTCAATAGATGAAAACGAGGAGAGTTTTGCAGGCAAAGATATGGAGGATGAATGACATGCATAACATTTAATCTGTTTTGCTTATACCTGTGTTTATGTGGGCCAGTGCATTATATATTTTTTATGTCCATGTAAACTGCACCTTGATAAAAAGCAACAGGAGATACTCAGTTTCACAGGAAGAAAAATAAAGATAAAGATTCAAAAAGTACAAATACAGCACCCAAGAAATGGAAGAAGCAAATCTGTATAACCTTGAGCAGGTAATTTTACTTTTTGGTCCTCAGTTTCCTCATTAATAAAATAAAAGAGCTGGACTTTTTAAGCCCTTCCAGTTCTAAATCTGATTTTATGATGATTTGCCCATGATTAAAATAAAGAGAGATCAGTATGGACTACTAAGGCTCAGATAACCTAATCTGAGATGACCAACTTAATAAAATGGCAACGTTGGCAGCTAGTTGGTTCAGTGAATAGAGCACGGGGCTTGAAATCAGGAAAACTCATCTTCATGAGTTCAAATCTGGCCTTACTAGTTGTGTGACCCTGGGCAAGTCACTTAATCCTGTTTGTCTCAGTTTTCTCATTTGTAAAATGAGCTGGAAAAGGAAATGGCAAACCACTCCAGTATGTTTGCCAAGAAAACCACAGTATGGGGTTGCAAGAAGTCAGACATGACTGAAACAACTGAACAAAGAACAAACTTGTAGACACATCAAGTGAGAGAATATGAAATAATAATAATTGGACCAGGAAGAATAAGAAGTAGGTTCATGAAAACCCTTGGAGAACATGAAACTAGGTATGGGCAGAGACAGTGCTGAACTTTTAGAGCAAGAATTAAAAATGTTAGCGTAATAAAAGACCACAGCTTCTAAATAGTAGATAAAAATCTTGTTGTGTGACTTTAGATAAATCACTTAACATCTCCAGGCCTGATTTTATTTATCCATAAAATGAGATCAATCTAAATGACTTCAAATCTAAAAGCAAACAAAAAACCCCCCCAACTCTCAAATAGTCAATAGTCTACAAAATATAGTTTAGGTTTTAAAACCACTATCACATTTATCACCTCATTTTTATCCTTACAGCAGCCCCCTAAGAAGATAGGACAAGTGGTATTATCTTCATTAGACTGATAAGGAAACTATGGCACAGGGATTTGTAAAGTTATGTTACTAATTAGCAGCAGGGATGGGCCTAGGATCCAAATTTGACTCTTATCCATACTCTGTCAATGAACCATGCTGCTTCTTAGTTATAATGTATAGCTTATATTTTCAGTAGGAATTTTTTGAATCCTGAAATGATGAATATGTTTAAAAAATTTTAATTACATGATAAGAACAAACCAAGTTTCTCCATTATGATCTAATTCATTGGTCAGTTCAGCTAATAACTCAATTCATTGAAAAAATCATTCAAACCAATTATTTTTACATTGGTTAAGCAAAACAGATTGGTTAACTAAGTTTTCATTTTAAATTTTTTTGTGTTGTTGTTGTGTAGGCATAGCCTATGAGTAATAATATACAACAGTTTCTTTAAAAGCATACCAACAATGCAGATTGAGGCATATATCTTTTGGATGTGGCCAATGTGAGAATTTGTTGTACTTAACTATACACCTTTATTACAAAGGTTGTGTTTTTCTTTCTTTTTTCACTGGAGATGAGTAGGAGGGGGATGAGATAGATTTTTGTTCATTAAAAAAATTAAATTAAATTTTAAAAAATATATTCACCTACTGATCTTTATCATGGGACACCTAACACTGCAACTGTCTCTAAGCTGGCCTCCTCAGTCCCAGTTTCTCCCCACTGCACTCCATCCTTCAAACCTTGTGCCATACTAATCCTCCTGAAACATTGTTTTCATCACTTGTTTGTTTCAGAACTTTCATCAACTTTCAGCAAGGTGATAGACTAGGGTTATTTCTAAAGTCCTTTTTTAGCTCTAACATTCTTTGATTAATTGACTGATTAATGTGCAAAAACCTTTTTGTGTCAAGAGGACCTAGGATTCACAGGCTTTAACAATCTTCCTTCCAACCTTTCTTTTCAACTTTGTCTCCAGCATTCTAGCCTAAAGGATTATTGAACTGCAAATACCTAACATATTCCCCTTGCATCTTTTCTCACATCATTTCCCCTAGATGGAATTCCTTAACCTCCATTTTATCTGTCTACCTTCAAGGTAAAATTCAATTTCTACTTCCTTCATTAAGGAGCCATAGGGATCTCCCCCTCCTCTAAATTCCTATATCATTTATTTTCTGTACTATTCATTTGACGTTTAATTATATGCTGCCTTGTGACATACTGTCATGTGTCATTTTTTAACTTTTTGCTCGTATATCTCCATAAATAAACTTCTTAACTTTTGTATTATACTTTTTATTTTTAAAAAATTTAATCGTAGGGGCAGCTGGGTGGTACAGTGGATAGAACACCAGCCCTGAAGTCAGGAGGATCTGAGTTCAAATGTGGCCTCAGACCAAATGTTTGACACCAGCTGTGTGACTCTGGGCAAGTCACTTAACCCCAATTGCCTAAAAAACAAAAAAATTTAATAGTATTTTATTTTTTCTAATTACATGTAATACAATTTTCAACATTCATTTTTTGAAATATTTTGAGTTTCAAACTCTTCTCTGTCCCTCCTTCCCCTCCTCCCTTTCCAAAACAGCAAGCAATCTGATATAGGTTATACATGTGCAATCATGTAAAACATATTTCCACATTAGTCATGTTGTAAAAGAAGAAACGGAACAAAAGGGAAAAGAAAAAAGAAGTGAAAATAGTATGCTTTAATCTTCATTTAGACTCCATCAGTTCTTTCTCTGGATGCGCATAGCATTTTCCATCATGTGTCTTTCGATATTGTCTTGGTGTATTACTTTTTTTTAAAAAAAAAGATTCCTGATAATGCCTAGCACTGATCTGGGCAGATAGTATACACTCAATGAATATTTTATGTTTCAATGTTTAGCCAAAAATTAAATAGCACTATTGTTCGGTGTTTCCAATTTTTTTTTTAAAGTCAAGTATTTATTAACATGCCATAAATTTAAATGCCCAAAAATTAACTAAATTATTAAATGTTAAACTAACTTCAAAATCTTTCTATGCAAAATTACTTGCTAATAACTCATTTGATGTGTGTGTGTGTGTGTTTGTGTATTTTTGCAATCTAGTTCCTATAAACTGTTGCTCAGTGAGAATCATTCTGCAGTCAGAGTTTGCTCCAGCTATCAAGTGGACATTAAGTTACTTTCCTTGTTGCATTTACCTATAAAAGATTCTCAGGATTACTATTCACTAGGTGATATTATTGCAAATGGTCAGACCCTCGATGGAAGAATTATTAATGTGCTTGCAATCGTAAGATCGGTAAGTTCAAAAAACCATAGCAGGTAAAGTCTAATCTGGAATCTCAATGACTCAATTTGTTTTTTCTAATATATGGCAATTCTGTCTGTTCTCAGCCTTATTTTAGACTTTCATCAGTAGTCACTTGAATCAATTTAGATAAAGGGTAAAAATTTCCACTTATGGAAAAAATTTTTATTTTTATGTGTAAATAAATAGCAAAATAAATTACACATGAATGCCAAGTGTAGTGTAGTAATATATATAATCGTTATGTGCTTATATATATGAGGTTTTTATAGGTTTCATTTGAACATGTATCCAAAATAGTCACTTGGCGCTTAAATAACAGATTTGTCCTTTAAAGAAGTATAAGCTTATAAACAAAGGAAATTGGTTACACACCATGACATATTTATTTCCAGAGCTGCTCTGAGATACATGATAGAGTGGTAATAACACTTCTTATTGGCTTGCAGTGGGCTAACAATTCAGTGTTATTTTACTTTGGCCAACACTTTATTTTAAAGTGTTGAAACATTATAGAAATCCATGATCTTCCAGATGTGATCCTCTCCTACAGTGTATCAGAATTAGTCAGCCTTTTGCTAAAAATTGTTGTATTGAGTTCTGATAACCACAACTTAAGGTCATGAAGAAATTTTAAACTATATTTAGAGAAAGCCACAAAAATGGAAAAATTTCAAAACAAAGCCCATGAAAAAGAATTAAAGGAACAAGAGTGAGAACAACTTAATGATGATTTTTAAGTATAAAGTAATTCTCATCATCTCTTTCTTACAGATAAGGAAATTGAGGCTCAGAGATATTAAGAGTTGCCCAAAGTCACATTGCTAATAAGTAGCAGAGGCAGTACTAGATCCCAAGTCTCCTGTTTTCTAGACCAGTGCTTTTTCACAATTCACTGAATGACTCCAAATCTAGGAAGCTTTACCTAGTGACTTGTATTCATAGAAACTTTACTCTACCTGTTGAACATAGATATTTTGTTCTTGCTGAAAATGACAATCTAACAATTATATAGTAGTTTCTGCTGTCAGTTGCTCTACATAAAGTTGTAATTGCTTATATGCTAGAAGCAGTAGAAATCAACAAACAAATTAAGCAGTTTATTATATTATGGTTAGTCTGCTACAAAATCACACCTTTTAAAGTCTTTATGGTTTGATGGGCAGGAAACAATAAAAATAAATAATTCCAATGAGTAATTTAAAAAAGGTTCCTTTTAAGAGACTGCTTTGGATGCACAGGGAACACACTGACCAACTTAAGACATTTGTAGATATAAGAAAGGGCAAGTAATAAAGGAAGAATACAGATGAGTGGCAGAATAGTGTCAAAAGCTGTAAATCTTAGAATGAGCTGAGACTAGCAAGAAAAATAGAACAAAAAGGGATTTCTTTTTAAGCTACGTTGTCACAAGAGGAGGATCAAGAAAGAAAGCAGACTATTCCTTGGTATGGTAAACAGATGACAGTGGAAGGAAAAACTGTTCAGCTTATTTTGCTTCTGTTTTCTTTTCTAATAATGATCTTTGAACTTGGATAAAGTGATCAAAAATGATTAGCAGGGAGTTGAAACTCGAAACAAATGAGAAGATAATAAGATAGTACCTAGCTGCCACCTGTTAATCAATCAAAAAGCATTCATTAAGCACCTTACAATGCTCCAGGTATTGTGCTAGGTGCTGGAGATATGAATGTAAAAATGTGAGTCTCTGTACCCAAGGAGCTTACATTTTACCTAAGGATATAAACATTTCCTTAAATAAGCATATACAGGACATGTACAAAATAAATATACAATGATTCAGATGGGGGTTGAAGGAATGTTAACAATTGTGAGAATCAGGAAAGGCCTTTTAAAGAAGTTGGCACTTGAACTGATCCTTAAAGGGAGCTAGCAGTTCCAAGAGAAAGGTGAGCAATCTTCTAGGACTGTGGAAAGGCATGGAGGCAGGAGGATGGAATGTCATGTATAAGGAACAGCAAGTAGACTGATTGGAGTGTAAAGCATGTAAGGGAGAACAACATAGAATCATCTTGGAAAATTAGGCTCGGGCCAGATACTAAAGGGATTTAACTACTAAAGAGAAGAATTTGTGTTTTTCCTAAAAGCAAGGGAGAGCCATTAAAGCTTCTTGATAAGAGAGGTGATAAGATCTGGGCTATGCTAATCCATTTGGCAACTGGGTAGAGGACTGATTGTAAAGTGGAGAGATATCATGCTGAGATACCATTTGGAGGCTATTACAATAATCTGCCTCATTTACTTTAAGCTCAGTGAGTTCAAAATCAGCAGTCCTGGATAAACTATAATTCAAAGTAATGAAAGAACTAGTGAGTATTATTGCTGAGCCAATGTTAGTTATATCTGAATGAAAGCAGAAAGTGAAGGAGATACAACAGGACTCAAGAAGTTTAGCTGTCACCCTGATTTTCTTTAAAAAATATTATTTTTAATTATTATTAATTTGATAAATATTAGTAAGCATGAGCATCTCTAAATACTAAGAACAGAAAAAGAACATCACAAACAACACTATAATTTTTCACCATATACATCTTGACTTTTAAAAAAGTAACAAATTCAACATGGTGGTCCCCAGTCATGCTTGTCAGTGTCTCCCTCTAAATTTTATTCTCTGTTCTGTGTATTTTTAAATGATTGGGTTTTTTTTCTTTTTTTTTTCTGATATCACTATCACTAACTCTACATCTCTTCTCCATAACTTTTCCACCCATGCACAAAAAAGCCTTTTCTTATAACAAATATATAGTCAAGCAAAGCAAATCCACATACTGGTCATTCTTGAATATGTATGTTTAATTCTGTACCCCTAATCCATCACCTCGAAAGCATGATTTATCATTGGTCTTTTGGAGCTGTGGTTGGTCATTGCATTGATCAAAGTTTTTGTCTTTCACAGTTGATTTTCTTTAAAATGAAATCATGCAGACTGTTTCCTCAATTCACTAGTTTATAGAGAAGTCTTCTGTCTTCTCTGAATCTGTCTCTTTTGTCGTTTCTTATGGGCAATAATATTTTATTTCATTGCTATATCATAATTTGTTCAACCATTCTTTCATTGATGGGCACTCCCCTTCTTTGATCTCTTTGAGATTCAATGTTTTAAAAACGAATGTTAAAATTGTTTTTACATGTAACTGAGGAAAAATAAAATACTAAAAGATCTTTTGGGGATATAAGCCTAGTAGAGGTATCACTGGCGGCTCTGGCAGCTAGATGGTGCAGTGGATAAGAGCACTGGGCTTGAAATCAGAAAGATTCATCTTCATAAGTTCAAATCCAGCCTCAGACACTTATCAGCTGTGTGACTCTGAACAAATCACTTACCCTGTTTGCTTCAGTTCCTTATCTGTAAAGTGAGCTGGAGAAGAAAATGGCAAACCACTCCAGTGTCTCTGCCAATAAAACCCCAAATGGGGTCATGAAGAGTCACACATGACAGAAACAACCCAGCAACAAATGGTATAACTGGATCAAAGGATTTACACAGTTTAATGACTTGGGGGTATAGTTCCAAATTCGTTTTCCAGAACGATTGGACCAATTCATAACTACAGTGACAGTTTTCCTACCTCTCCTCCAACAATTGCCATTTCCCTTCTTTTTCCAACTTTGCCAATTTGCTAGTGTGAGGTAGAACTTCAGAGTTGTTTTAATTTGTACTTCTCTTATGAGTGATTTGGAGCATCTTTTCATATGGCTGTTGATAGTTTGTATTTCTTCTTTCGAGGACTGCTTATTCATATCTTTTGACCACTTGCCTATTGGGAAGTGGCTTTTATTCTCATTATATATTTGCACCAATTTCTTTTATATCTTGTATATCAGACCTTTGTCAGTGAAGTTTGCTACAAAGATTTTTCTTAGTTAGCTTTCCCTTCTAATTTTAACTGCTTTGATTTTGCTTATACCAAATCTTTTTGATTATACGTACTCACAATTGTCCATTTTATCTTCTGTTATGATCTTCTAATGCTTGGACTTATCTGAACAAAAACTGTTACTCTACCCATAACTGTGAAAGGTATCTCCTCTCCAGTTCTTCTAATTTGTTCATTTTTAATAAGGTAAAAGTTAATAGGGCTAAGTATAAAATCCTATACTTATACAATCGTGCTTTTTTATTTAAAATTTTAATTTTTTTGTAATTCTGAATTTGACAATCATAAACAAACATGAGTATTTCCAGATACACAAAACGAAGAGGAATGTACATGAAACTGTGAATCTCTATTATGTACAACTATTTTAAAAAATAATATAGTAAATTCAACATGTGAGTTTCAAAGCTTACTACTACTATCTAATGGAGAGATGGAGTTCTCATGGGGCAGACTGAGATCTACATTTTCAAACATAGCCAATGTACATATTTGTTTTCCTGGACTATACTTATTTGTTACAAGGAATACTTGTTTTTAATTTGGTGGAGAGGGATTTGTGAGGAAAAGGGGTACTAGTGATAGTGGTGCCAAAAAAATAATAATTGTAGCATTTTTTTAAAAAGCACAGAAGAGAACAGGGGACAAACAAGCAATACAACTTTGAAACTAACATGTTAAATTTTGAGTACATAAAGTTGAAAAGCTTTTGTACACACAAAATCAGTGCAGCTATAATTAGATGGGAAACAGTTGAGTAGGGGGAAAAAAAATCTCAACTATGAAAGACTTGAGAACTTTACCAATGCAACGATCAACCACACAACTCTGGAGACATTTTCATCTTTTCTTACCTGGTGTCAGTGCATTCCCCCTTGATATGAGGAGCTGGGTACAGTTTTGTGGTAAAACACTTGTGACACGTTTGGCCTTAATTCACCAGAAGTTCTTGGGTCCCCTGAAATGATGCCTTAAGACTGTGCAATACCGTTGTTGTCCACTAGATAGTGTTCTAGTCCACCACCAGTACAGTGGCATCCTCAGTTTCCCTCTGGTTCATGAAAGGGAGTTTCCCTAAAAAGTTATCCT